GTTAGGTAAATTATGGTAAATTTTAAGATGGCATACCAATCAGCCTTTCAAATACCATTCTTAAAGAACATTTAATGATAAAAAGAAAAGTCAGGTTATGAAATGGTATAAATAGTAGCATTCCAGTTTTCTAAAATTGTTATATCTAAGTGTAAGTGGATGGAAAATAGAATGAAAATGCAATAATGTAAATAATAACAGTAATTACCCGAGGCTGATAGTACCACTAATAATTTTAATGTTTTCTATTATACTTTTCTGCATTTTCCACACTTTTTAGATATAATTGTTGATCAGAAAATGTTAATGAACGTTGGGAGAGAAAAATGCTGTAAACTCTTTTATATAATTTCTGGCAACTTTCTTTATAAGGTGATTATCATGTATTAGAGTGATTCTCAAGTCTAGCTGCTCCTTAGAAACACCTGGGGAGGGACAGCGGGTGTCTGAGTCAGTTAAGCGTCTGCCTTTGGCTCAGGTCATGATCTTAGGGTCCCTAGGATCCAGTCCTGCATCCAGCTGCTTGCTCAGCGGGGAGTCTGCTTCTCCCTCTCCCTCTGCCTCCCTCCCCCCCACCCCGCTCATGCTCTCTCTCTCTAATAAATAAAATTTTAGAAAAGAGAAAAAAAAAGACCTGGGGAGCTTAACAACAACAAAAAAGCCTATTTCCTCTAGGCTCCATCTCCAGAGTTTCTTATTTAGTTGGTCTGGGGTAGGCCCTCCATTAGTAGCTTTTAGAAGCTCCCCAGGTAATTCTAATAAATAATCAGGACTGAGTAGTACTGTTTCATCATGTGTGATCAATAGACGAATATTTGCTTAAAGCCACCTGCGCCTCCACGTAGACTATTGGTTTGAAAAAATGTGACCTACAGTTTCGCCAACAGGAGACTGACATAATTTAGATGGACTGTCTAATGAATGAGTAGGTCTGTAAGTTTGTGGGAGGGCAGGATTTGCATTTTTGAAGCTTTAAGAAGTTTGACAAATCCACAGAGTGCACTCCCAATTCCATTTTGCATGTTGCCTCATTAAGCTGAGTTTAGCTATCTGAGAACACTTGTCAAACTAAGAACTAAAAAGGCGATATGGAGGGCAAGATAAAAAGCAGATAAAGTCTGTTTATGTTTATTGACAATTTAAAAAATATTTATTTATTTGAGGAGAGAGAGAGTGAGTGTGAGCGAGAGCACAGGGGGGGAGGGGGTGGGGGGGAAGCAGGCTTCCTGCTGAGCAGGGAAGACAAAGGGCTCAATCCCAGGACAATGGGATCATGACCAGGGCCAAAGGCAGATGCAGGCCGACGCTTAACCGACTGAGTCACCCAGGCGCCCCTGTTTATTAACAATTTTTAAAAGAAGTTGCTGTTTATTTATTTTTTAAAGATTTTTATTTATTTCACACAGAGAGAGCAAGAGAGAGAGCACAAGCAGGGGGAGCGGCAAGCCCCGTGTCAGGCTCCCTGCTCAGTGAGGAGCCTGCTGCTCCCCTTGCTTGTGCCTTTTTTTTTCTCTCTCTCAAATAAGTAAAATCTTAAAAAAAAAAAAAAGTAAAGGATCAAAATTTTTCTTTGGGCTGGAGATAGGGGGAAATTTTTATTTTTAATTTCTTTCTACAGTTTATATAGAGACCCTAAAGCTTGCTGAAAGGCCTATTAGTATGACTTTTAGGGGTCTGAATACCTGCTCCCTGTTCTCTCCAGCGCTAACTTCAGAAATGCACTTGGGGGCACCTGGGTGGCTCAGTTGGTTAGGCGACTGCCTTCGGCTCAGGTCATGATCCCGGGGTCCCGGGATCGAGTCCCGCATCGGGCTCCCTGCTCGGCGGGGAGTCTGCTTCTCCCTCTGACCCTCTTCCCTCTCGTGCTTCTATCTCTCATTCTCTCTCTCTCTCAAATAAATAAATAAAATATTAAAAGAAAAAAAAAAGGAAAAAAAAGAAATGCACTTGGTTTAAACTCAGCCTAAGAAGACTGAGAGCAATGGCTGAGAAGTTTGTTCAGGCCAAACTGTAGGGGCTTACCTACCCTAGTAATCATGCTGTGCATTCTGAAACTTTTTTTTTTCTTAAAGATTTTATTTATTTATTTGAGAGAGAGAGAATGAGAGATAGAGAGCATGAGAGGGAAGAGGGTCAGAGGGAGAAGCAGACTCCCTGCGGAGCAGGGAGCCCGATGTGGGACTCGATCCTGGGACTCCAGGATCATGACCTGAGCCGAAGGCAGTCGCTTAACCAACTGAGCCACCCAGGTGCCCCTGAAACTTTGTTTTATATGCACTGCTTTACCAGCCTCCTTATATTAGGCTGGATTTGAAAGGCAACAGCTGAGCTGGAGGGACTGATGTGCTCTTTCACAATTACGTACCCTAAGGGTGAGGATATGGATACATCTCTATCTACCTCTATCTCCGAGGATGACCTTGTGGCTTTCTCTGTGTTGACATCCTTCCTACATCTTTGAGATAATAAACCTTGCTTAATTTACTCAAGAGGTGTCTGATCTTCAGATGAAGAAGTAACCACTGACATTGGTCAAAATGGTGGCCAGTCCTCAACAGATTAAAAGAGCTTTAAAATTACCATTACTGGGTGCCTGGGTGGCTCAGATGGTTAAGCATCTGCCTTCGGCTCAGGTCATGATCCCAGGTCCTGGGATCGAGTCCCGCATCAGGCTCCCTGCTCCTTGGGAGCCTGCTTCTCCCTCTGCCTCTCTCTCTCTCTCTCATGAATAAATAAATAAAATCTTTAAAAAAAAAATTACCATTACTATGCTATTTACTTTTATAAGTAACATCGAAACAAACGACAAAATGTGAAAGCAAATCTTTCTATAAATAAATTATGGCCTGCTTTCATTTTGTTTATCTGTCTTAGATGATAAGCCTCCAATAAGGCTATTCTAGCATAATGGTAATAAATATTTCTTTAAATTATAAACTGTTACTCTAAGTAACTTCTTTATTTTGATTTTCATTTTCTTCTCCATCAGTTCTGATACATTCACATTGATTTATCTGGAAAACTAAAGATAATACTGCCATGAGTTTCCTATTGCCTCATCTGTTCACCTAAAAAAACAAAAAACACAACCAAAAATCAGTCTTTATTACTTGTGAATTAATTTTGTGGTAAAATTCCACACTCTTGTTTAACACTAAAAAAAAAAATCCATCTCCATGTTGTAATCAGTGGCTTGTAAACCATTTTAATCACTCACTCAGTAAACTTAGTAGGATATGAGCTTCTACATCTGTCACCTCACTGATTGCCTGGACTCACTCATTTGATTTTGCTGGCTAGGAAGGCCTTCCCTTCATGCCCCAGTGCTCGATGAGCTGTGTTCTCCAACAGAGTGTATTCTTAGAGAAAGAAGAATCATCCTATGACATAGACCTATGAATAGCTATATTCCTTGGATAGATTTGCCATGCTACCATATATAAATTCTACTTATAGTATGGGTGTTAGTAGTTCATCTGTGATACTATGTCACTCATTTTTAACCTCATTTTCAAGATTGAGGTATAATTCACATACCATAAAATTCACCCTTTTAAAGTATAAAAATAAATAAATAAATAAATAAATAAATAAATAAATAAATAAATAAATAAATTATGGCCTGAAAGGAGTGGTCCGTTTCTCCTCCCACAAAAAAACCATCAAGTCTTTGTGCAATGTTGTTGTTGGTAGCACACCCGGTGTTCAGTATTCCTCCACACCTAGTTTACCGTCACTGTGAAGCACTGTTGCAGAAGCTTGGGAATATACTTACAGAAATCAAGAAAATAGAACGTCTTTCTCAGAATTCTCACTACTTTGCCCAGAACCCACAGCTAAGGTCAAAATTGCTAACACGAAATTGCAACTCCTACATGTGCAAGTTTCTCTCCTTGTTAAATTACAGTATGATTAGGGGAAGGGACCTCATTTCATACTTGTTTTACATCACTGGCAAAGCAGAGAACAGGGACCGCTGAAGGCCATGTTTGAACAATACAGGTATTAACAATGAAATTAGGAAGGCAGGTAGTACGAACAATGGGTATCGTAGGCTTTGGTAACAGATCTGTGTTCTAATTCCTAGTGGGCATTTTGTAGTTATGAGACCTTGGTTGAGTAATTTTCCTTTAGGATAATTTTTTTTTTAAGATTTTATTTGAGAGAGAGCAAGAGAGAGCGTATGAGCGGGGGGAAGGCGCAGAGGGAGAGGGAAGAGCAGACTCCCCACTGATCAGGGAGCCCAACGGGCACTCGATCCTAGTACCCTGGAATCCTGACCTGAGCCGCAGGCAGTCGCTTAACCGACTCAGCCACCCAGGTGTCCTCCTTTAGGAGAATTTTTAAATCCATTCAAGTACTAGGATATGTCAGGTACACAGTGAACATCCACTATGAACGAAGTAGGCATCACTCCTGTCCAAGAAAAGGTCTTTCAACAGTCCAGAAGACAGAAAAGAAATTTGAAAAACCGTGAAAGATTTTGTAAAATAAAAATCGTATCTACTTCCCGGCAGAATAAATGAGATAAAGCGATTACTTAGTTCAGTGGCTAGCATAATTAATGAATAAGTACTTGGCAAAGCAAAGCCGACTAGTTTGGGTCTCACTTCCTTATCACGTGAGTCTCTCCTCTTACACAGGTGGGATCCCCAGGGTTTTCCACTTCAGGGCCTAACAAGTGTCTGCTTTGTATGCGTGAGGGGCAAGCCCTGGCTACGGAGGACACGAAGCGGAGAGTACGAAGCTTCCTCCAGGTTAGACCTTGGAAGACGCCGCCTTTCGCCCCCAGCTTCTTATTTAATTTCTGGGTTCCCGGGCGCCAGCTCCAGCCGTCCGCTGTCAGGCCGGAGCTCCCATTGGCTAGTCTCCTTCGGAAACACACGCCTTTTCCCGCCTCCTCACGCAGCTAGTCCAATGCACGCTTCTCCGTTCCGCTCCGCCCCGCCCCCACAACGCCTCCTCCCTGATGGAGTCTCACCATTGGTGGATCTCTGCGGCCGTGATGGCGGCGGTGCGCGTGCGCGCTCGCTCCGGGGCCCTCCTCCCTAGCGGAGCGAGCGGGGCGGGTGCTGGAGCAGGCAGGTCGTGCTCCGCCCGGGTGAAAGGGCGGCGGCGGCGCTGGGCGGGGCCGAGTTCCACAGCCGGCAGCCGGGCTGTGGTGGGTCCTGAGAGCCGCTCAGGCGGGGCGGGGCTGGCCGAGGGGAGTCCGCGCGTGCCCGCGCTGAGCTGTCCGCTCCGGCGGCTGCGCTGCTCGCCTGCCGCGACGTAGCGCCGGGGTCTCCAAGCATGACCGAGCTGAGGCAGAGGGCGGTCCGCGAGCCGGACGCGCCGCCCGAGGACAAGGTAGCGGCGTCGTCGGGGTTGGCGCGGCCGGGCAGCGGCGCCCCCCGGAGGTTCGCGGGGGCCGCGCGCAGAGGTGTCGTCTCGCTCTCTGACCCTTTGTCGCCGCCGACAGCGGCCCCGGGCAGCGCCGAGGGTCTTTGGGTGGGGGCCTCGGCGGAGCGCGCACGAGGGGGCGGTAGGTCGGAACCCCGGCTCTGGGGTCTGGTTGGGGGTGGCATCTCCCGGGCGCAGGAAGGAGCGCGCGGGAGGTTGCGCGGGGCCACTTGCCTCGCAGGGTTGATGGGGGTCCCCTTCCAGTCTCCCACCTCCCCGAGGACTTCCTGGTGTGGCGACATCGGGACCCCGCAAAGCCTTCTTTGGCAGGAGACTCATCTGAGCCAGTCTAAAGCTCTCTGCTCCCCTTTAAAATATTTGGGCGAGGAGGCGGCTATCAAGACAAGGCCATGGAATTTGCCTCTTAGGAGATTTAAGTTCTTTCTTGAAAGTGCAATCTATTGGTTTTAAATTAAGCAGAGAGGTCTCTTGACTCACGTCGTCTGCAGGTGTTGGAAGGTGTACTCCCAGTGTAGGTTTCCTGCTTCAAGTGTGGGCATTGATGGGGTAGAGCAGGAGGGTAAAAAAAGAGGCCATCTTGGCGGGGACGCAGTTGGTTGGGGGGTGAAGGATGGGGGGGTTGACACCTTTCATTGAAGTGAAAGATTTGTGTAGGAGAGTTGAGGAAGGTGGAGAGTGGTTGGTTCAGTGGACGTTGAATGACAGCGTAAGGGTTGGGGCTTGGCGGTAATGTTTCGAGCTTCAGGAGCAGTGTGTTTGGTAAATGGATCTGGCAGTGGTGTGTAGAATGGACCGAGGGAGCCTGGGCCAGAATGGAAGACGCTGGTTAACTTGGGAGTTGCCAACGGGTGATTTGCACATGTTTTCTTTGGTCACATGCTATTTTAAAAACCAGAGCGTTTCTCCTAACAGTCTGAATTTCAGGCATCTGTGGATAATTGGAAGATCTGCCATCATAGTCCCACCTGATTAGCATGGGGCTGGAGCTGAGGAACAGCTGTTGCCATCAATCCCTGTTGTCCTACACCAGGCCTACAGCACCCACTTATGTATGTAGCTTGCAGGTTTTGACAGCTGGAGGAAAGGAACGTCAGGGAAACACCAGGAAGGAAGAAAGCACAAAATCTGGGGACAGGGTGTCAACCGAGCAGTTGTACTAGAACGCATGTTTGGGGTGAAAGAGAATAGGGTGTTAAACAAGTTTTTTGTTACTGCTGTTGACAGTGGATCATTCAAGGAGAACTCTTCATATTAATTTTTAGAATAAATTTTGGAGAAAATTCAGGGTTCCAGCGCAAGCGTAGGAATCACTTGCAGAGAAACGGTACTTTGAAATCTCTTATCTTCCCATTAAGTATTCTGGTTGGGCCTGAAAGAACTCTGCCCCACCCTGCATATACTAGTTGGTGAATATTTAGATGTTTAGAGGTTGTGTAGCCCTGTTTAAGATTTAATGTTAAGGGACTTTGTGGCCTAAAAGGTGTGAAGAGAGGGAGACAAAAGAAGGCACAATAACCAGTGGGCTGTATTTTTTGAAAAGCTATTTGTAATGGTTAGACATACTTACTGGTGAAAACAAAAACACACACCCCATGGGATTGTGAGGTGAAAGTTTTTACCCTCCCCACTCAATTCCTTGGATCCATCTCCCAGAGAAAAAGTGCCAGTTGAGTCTTAATTACTTTCTCATTCCCATGTTTTAGGTAGGGAGAACATGAGGAGCTGTCCAGCTAAAGGTACCTTAAATTTTTACAACTGCACTTGAACCACTTACACAACGACAGAATGCCTGGGGTTGTGAGCTCCACTAAGTGCCTGTTCCCTAAAACACAGCAGCTACTGCATTCGGTTAAAAACCTGATTGATGTAGTCCATTAATCCAGAACAAGGCAGTCAACTCCTCCCCTGCCTCATCACTCAGTATTTCTGAACTACCACGTATGGTATTTTTAATAATAAAGATACATTTTAAGAACTGTGAAATGTTTTATGTGCCTTTGATGAATGTATAGAATCTTTAAAAATATTCTATTTCATAGTTTGAAAAACCTATTTTCATGATTCTGGCTTTGCTAATATTCTTCTGTTAAAACTTAAGAAAATTAGAATAAAATAGGGGTGCGTGGGTGGCTCAGTGGTTAAGCATCTGCTTTCAGCTCAGGTCATTATCCCAAGGTCCTGGGATTGAGTCCCACGTTGGGCTCCTTGCTCAGTGTGGAGCCTGTCTCTCCCTCTCCCTCTGCCTGCTGCTCCCCCTGCTTGTGCTCTCCCTCTTGTTATCTCTCTCTCTCTGTTAAATAAATAAAATCTTAAAAAAAAAAAGAAAATTAGAATAAAACAAGGCTATCTCTTTAAAGAAATGAATTGTGAAATGAGAACTTTCTTATTTCATAGTAGAAGAATTCAGAAAATAGTATCAGGTCAGTTCATTAAAAGAAGTGGAACACATTTGAAAGATTCTTTAAAATGTTCCATTTGCTTAATGGTTGTGGCAAAATTGTTTTGTAAGTAAGCATTAGTTTCAAAATAATCTGGAGAATGTGTTTATTAGAAGTCAGAAGGTATTTTGTTATATTTAGCATCCTAGAATGGAATTTTCAAAGCCAATTGCTAATAAAGGAAATGTTTTCCTCTGGGAACCGTGCTTATAATTTTAAAGTCCCAAAGCACAGTATTGTTGCCAAATTTAAGAAACTTGGAATTTAAGCTTTGAGAATGATCCTCTTTCTGCCCAACCATGTTTTTCCAATGGAGGTTAGGAAAGAAAAGGATGAAACATGGGCCAAAAGATTGTCATCTTAAAATTTATGTTGGGTTTGGCATTTCAGGAGACTTTGTTTTGGAGGTTAGAGTGAAGGCTCTGCTGTATTTAGGTGCTGGAGTGCTACTTAAATTAGAGCTTTACTTGTTTCAGGGCTTCCTTTGTAGATGGATGAGGCCAGCATGGGAAGGAAATAGTGACACCATTTAGAAAGAAGAGTTTAAAGTTTAACTGAAGGCAGTCGTTAGGAGCAGGGACTGTGCCACTTACCAGCTGTGTAAGTTTGAGCAAGGCGCTTATAAAAGCCTCTGTTTGTCCATCCCTAAAATGGAGGTGATAAAGTAGCATGTGCTTCAGAGGATATTCCTGAGGATTAAATGAATATGCATGTTACATAGGTAGGGCAGGAATTGTCACATTGTGATAGTATATTAGCTACGGTTGTTTCTAGCTGAAATATAGTTTGTTTTTTTTAATAGGTGGGTGTTTTTTTAATATTTTATTTATTTATTTGACAGAGAGAGACACAGCGAGAGAAGGAACACAAGCAGGGGGAGTGGGAGAGGAAGAAGCAGGCTTCCCGCTGAGCAGGGAGCCTGATGCGGGGCTTGATCCAGGACCCAGGGATCATGACCTGAGCCGAAGGCAGACGCTTAACGACTGAGCCACCCAGGCTCCCCGACCTATCTTTTCAGTTCATTTTCTTGCTCAATTTTTCGGTGTTCAGAATCACAGGCAGGCTTTAGCCGTAGAAGCAGCATTGCTGTATGCAATTATCTTCCCTTCAGTGCACTAGCTATAATATATTTGGGGACAGTGGTGAGTAATTAAAAGTGTTTTTCTGATTTTTAAGAGTGAATTACTGAAAAAATGAAATCTTAAGAGCTATAAAACTACAGATGTAGGAGAAATGCTCTATTTCAACTTTTTTTCTTATTGAGAAATACTTTGGGTATTGAAAAGTCAGTAAACCTTGACTATGGTTTTTTTTTTTTTAATTTTTATTTTATTTGTTTATTTTTGAGAGAGAGAGAGCACGTGCACGAGCTCCCACTGAGCAGGGAGCCTGAGGGAGGACTTGATCCCTGGACCGTGGGATCATGACCTGAGCTGAAGGCAGATGCTTAACCGACTGAGCCATCCAGACGCCCTTGACTATGGTTCTTAAACAGGGAGAGAAGGTACAAGATTTGTCACATAACCCACCATTTTAATTTTCTTATTTATGTTGATCAAAGTGTGTAAGTTTAAAAACAACTCCCAATTTTGTGACTACTTAAAATTAGTGTTTTTTTAAATTTTTATAAAAAGCTCATTTTGGTGTGCCTGGCTGGCTCAGTTGGTAGAGCATGCAACTCTTGATCTTAGGATTGTAAGTTTGAGCCCCACGTTGGGTATAGAGATTACTTAAAAATAAAATCTTTTTCTTTAAAAGAGCTGATTTTGTTTGAAATGTTTTGTTTGTACACATTTGTGATATTTCATTAGAAGAATTTATATCTTTTAAAAATGGTAAATTGTTCTCATTGGTTATTAGAACTAGAAAGATCTTAGAAGTCATTATTTGATAGGATACCATATCCCAGAGAGTTTACGTGCTCAAGGTCATACAGCTTGTTAGAGGCAGAATGGGTCATAGTATGAAGGTTTTCTTATTTCTGGTTTTTTTCTCATTATGTTGCATAATGCTGCCTGCAAGGGTACAGAATTAATTTACAGACTTTAAAAACATACCCAAATAGCACCTATTTTTCTTATGTGGCCATAAAAATCAGAAAAATAGCAAATGAATTTTTCAAAATGTGTTTGCAAATTCTCAGTAAATGTGGAGATTCTGAGAGAAAAAAATTGGCAGAAGAAGTTGATTAGGTCCAGTTTTCCCAGTTACTGGTGGTTTATATATTCTGAAGTCCATGCCTGGGAGCAGCCATTTGGGTATCTTTGAAAGGAACTCCCAGTGTGGTTGGGCTCCTCACGCTGAGCTACATGAGGCTGCTTTCCGGATGATGATTTTCAGTGTCAGAACCGCTTGTTCCAGCAATGATCAGTCACTCAGTATTCAACACACCTTCTCCTTAGAACATTCACTGACTCCGTGTCTGCTGTATACAGTCTCTGTTAGCTCTGAGGGAGGGTTGGTGTCTGTGTTCATGAAGAAAATGTTCAGGATTTTATACCAGTTTTG